TTTTATTTATCTTGCGGGGTGTTATCTAGGGGAGTTAGTAATAAGCCTTTTTACCGGGTCCTTACGGGTGCTAAAGCTATTATTTTAGCTTTATTTTTAAAGGTTACTTTCCTTATAGTTTTCTTTTCTATCTTATTTTTAAAGTTTAATCTTTTTAGAATTATCTAGCTCTAGTAGCAGAGATATTTATCCCCTTTCTTAGGCAGGTTCTTTAACCTCCTAGTTAAAGAATCGGGCTTTACCCTAAGTTTTCCGGGTTAATATATAATCTTAAAGTTAAAATAGGATAGAAATTTAGACTAGCAGGCCTAGCAGTGGTTTAGTAGTTTTATTATTATAAAGTACTCGAGATTATAGTAGTCGGTAATAACTTTAATAGGTAAAGCGGCGCTCTTAAGCTCTGGTTTCTATTTTTTAAAGTATTAAATAATAGTAAGCAGTTTTTTATTATATATCTTATAGTTGTATTCTATAACTAAGTGCTTTTTTAAGAAGAATATAACAGGGCGCAGGATTCCGTCGTCTCTGTACTATAATAAGACGCCAACTAAAATATAATTAAATATATCTGTTTCTATAATAATAGGCTTATTCTAGTTAAATAGTGCCAGGACAGGTGCAGAGGTAAAAGCTTTTTTTAATTTAGTAAAAGCTTTCTAACAGGCAGTATTCTATATAAAGGTAACGCCCTTTTTTATTAGGCGTACTAGCAGAGTAATAATCTTTAAAAAGTTTCTAATAAATTAGCGGTAGAAGTTTCTAAATCCTATAAAAGCTTATATATTAGTTAGGTAAGTTAGTATCTTCTAGTCTATTACAGCTTTAATCTTTTCTAGGTCTATTTGCAGGCCGTTAGCTCCTATAATAATGCCTAGGAATGTTATTTCTTCGGCAAAGAACTTATATTTCTTAATTTTTGCGTAGAGTCCTGCTTTTTATAGCAGTTTTAGCATAGTGCGGACATGCTCTAGGTGTTTAGTTTAGTTCCGGCTGTAAATTAGAATATTATTTAGGTAGGCAGTATAGAAAACATTAAAATGCTTTTATAGAATATTGTTTATAAATTGTTGGAATATTACAGAGGCTCCGGTAAACCTAAATAGTATTACTAAGGTTTTAAATAGTTCTAGTCGGGTTCGGAACGCAGTAAGCTATTTTTAACCCTTTTTTATATATAGGTTATTAAAGGCAGATATAATATTAATTTTTATAAAGTACTTTATCCTCTTTAGGTTGCTTAAGGTTTCCTTTATTAATAGTAGCGGGTAGCAGTTCTTAACTGTTATAGTATTTAGCGCTCGGTAGTTAATATAGAAGCGGAGGCCTTCTCTAGGCTTTTTTATAAATAATATAGGTAACGCGGCAGGCAAAGAGCTAGGGCGGATAAATCCTTTCTTTAAATTATCTGCTACCTATTCTTTTAGAGCTATTAGCTTATTATAGGATATTAGGTATAAAAGTCTAAAAAAGGGCGTCTTTCCTTTTTTTAACTTAATTTTATAGTTATATAGGCGGTGCGGTGGCAGGCAGTTAGTATTTTTAGGCAAAAAAATATTAGTAAACTTTTATAGTTCTTTAGGCAGGCGGTCTAGGTTAAAGCCCTTCTTTTTAGATAGGATATAGTTAATATTATCTAGTAATATAGAGAAGAGTTTATATTTTTTTTATAGGTAGGCGCTATATATATATAAGGAAACAGGTGCTATATTCTTCCTTTCTAGGTTTTTTAGTGCAGGCGGTAGGTACTCCGGGCGGTTTTTCTTTAGAATATTAGCAATTCTTTATACACGCGTTGCTTTTTGCAGTATATTATAGTGTTTATAATAGTACTAGCTTATAAACTATAGCGTATTATAGGACTAGTCCGGTATAGGATTATACAGGCGTAGCTACAGGATTCCTAGAATAATTAGGTAATAACTTAGTTTAGTTACCCCTATTTAAACAGTTTCTAAATATTTATTTATCTATAATTAAACCTAAATAGTATAGGTTATTTTACCTGCTTCGGAATTGCCTCTATTAGCCAGTTCTAGGTAAAAAGGGTACTTAAGCGGAATTATTAGGATATAGTAATACTTTACCTAGTCTTTATTAACTAGCGCTTTCCCTTTATAGCTACTATTAATTATACTATATACTAGAATACTCTAGCCCTAGTGTTCTAAATATATAGGTATAATTAATAGGTTAGCTTTTATAACCTATTCCTTTTTAATAGTTATTCCTTAGATAGCAGCAGCGAATACTTATATAGTGCGCAGTATATAAGCCTAGCTGCAACCTATATTAGGCTTAATTCTTTTATTAAAGTAGAAAACGGGGGAAAAGCAGGTTTTAGTAGTATCCGGGTTCTATATTTAGTAGAGGGCGGTAAAGGGCTCTAGAAGAACGCATTTTTATAAACAGAGTAGAAGTAAATAGAGCGTTTATTAGGCTAAGGGCAGTTATAGATAAAGTATTTCTTAGATCTGTAATAGTAATATTCCTTTCTTTTATATTAAGTTAAGCAACCTCTTAAAAAATTTATTAGGTCTCCGGAGACTTCTATAATTCTTATAGCGCCGGATGCTCTTAGTAATAACTAGGGTATAGCAGTTTGCGTTCCTATAGGAACGGGTGTTTCCTAACAGGTTTAATTTATATTAGCGTATATTCTCGGGGTTGCGGTAGTAGATACTTTATATTATTTGCGGCGGTTATCTAGGTTTTAAAGAAACTTTGCAAATATATAGTACTTTCTACTAGGGGGTTTATAGTAGAGTAGTATTCCCTTTAGTTTGCGGTTAACAGCTTTTTCTAAGAGGGTTAGTAGAGCTTTTTTAGAGAGCTCTTCTTCTAAAGCTAGGCGTTAGAATTTAGTAAGGAAGATGCTAAATTCTTTATTATTCTGGCGGAGGCGGAATAGTTTAGTGTAGGAGTTGCGGACTTAGTTAGGGTCTCTATATGCTCGTTCTAAGAGTTCTAGAATAGCTTTGAAATCGGGTAGTTGACAGTTTCCTCTTATAATATACAGCAGGACTTAGGCGTACGGGTTTCTACTTAGACAACTGTTTATATAGGACATTCGGCTTTAGGGGTCAGGGAAGCGGTCTCGGTTAACAGTTATTTTCTTATAGATTTAAGAAAGGAAGCGGTGGAGGTCCTTTCGGTCACCCGTAAACTTATCAGGGTCGGGTTGTTTCTTAGAAAGCCGGGCAGGGGTGGTAGATGTGTTAGAAGTAGACGGAGGCGTTCGTGCTGCATCAGCTGTGTTTCCTTTAGTTGGTACTTGCAGCATTGGGGTTTGCGGGGCGGTGCGGACGGTAGGTGTAGCCATATCAATTGCTCTCTGTCTCTCAGCAAGGGCCAAAGCTAGTTTATCCGTAAGCTCCTTTATCTCTTCCTTCTGGTATTCACGGACAGCTTGTAATTGTGCCTTCAGTTGGTCGCTCTGTCGTTTATGTTCCTCAATTTCCAATTCCAGGGCTTGTATGCGGAGTGCGGCTTGGTGGTTTTCAGTAAGGCTTTCCTGGGCGGTATCGACATATTCGTATATTTGGCGGCAGTACTCGTACCATTCGTGTACGTGGTTAGTAACATGGGCGGCGAACGCGGATTCGCTGTCCGGCAGGACTGGGGGGAGAGGGTAGGACATCAGGTCGGCGGTGCAGGTAGATAGCTAGGTGGGTAAGGAGCTACGTAATGTCACGGTCTCGGGCGGCAGGATTGCCCTAGCTAGCTCGGGCAGGTAGGTAGAAGTAATAACTGAATTCACTACGTGTTCTATAATGCACGGCAGGCAGGCGGGTTGAATAACAAGACGTAGCTCAAGGAGCTACAAGGAGGCAGGGCGGCGGTCGGCAGGTATACTCCTGCCAAGGCTCGCATAGGCCCTTGCAACAAGGCCTCTCGCCGGGTCCTAACATCACGTGTTACGCTGTGCAGCAAGCTTCACCGTTCAAGCCGTGACACTAAGAAAGAGTAATTCTGTAGTATAAGAAATAGACCAGCCCCTTTTAATAAGTCTAGCGATCGCATAATTTACTTTTAAGGCGCCAGCACGTAGTTTATTATAATCCCTTCTATTCCAGAGAGAAACCAATCCTATAGTTTTATTAACAACGTCCTGTTCTATCCTAATATCCAGGAGAACTATATATAATAAAAGTAGAACAAGCGCCTAAAAGTTGGAAACTAATATCTAAAGCCGCGCATTCTTGATTAAAGAGTCTGTGATCGAAGCAAAGTCGAGGCCGACAGTAATGAGCTCGTTTGAATGTTGACTTTTTGGGTTGTTTTTTGCTGTGTCCAAGGTTGCGCCACTAATAAGAGAACGGATGATCTTTGCGTACATCTCCGTACTAGTGCCGATAATTTCGGCCTGTTGTCTACTCCACTCAGTAGCCTTCGGTATCTTCTGGATATATGCGGCCCGGATGGCCAGAGCGTATTTTCTTGCCCGCGGCTTCCGCTTCAACTTCCGCTTCTTCGTGATCTTGGGCGAGATCCCATCGTCGGTGAGCTGCCATTTCTTTTTAAACTTGGGGCAATTTTGGCAGTGGCCAAGCAAAATGTCGTACACGTTGATTGCCATCTCTGAATGGTGTACGTTCGGTTCAGGAGCTCAGGAATCGCACAAGTGAGGCTGGATGCGCTAATCCACATGCGCTGACCGATTCGGTCAGCGCATGTGGATTAGCGCATCCCCTAAACACGGGACACATTCTACCCTCGCCACTATCTCGCGCCGATCAAGCCAAGCTCTCTTGAAACTTCGACCTCTCGGAAAAGAAGACCAGTTGGGATCGTTTCCCATATCCCCGACGGATTGACGAGGTGTGCCCAGGTCGGAGGCTGCACTCGGTGCCCCGTCGCCCACCAATATATTGATAGCGCTGAGATAGGGATCAGAGACATCAGTGATGAAGTGCTTTGGTGCTCAAGGTCATATAGCACGTTACGCCCGACACGGCTGAGACGCCCTTCAGCTCGTTGCCTTCTTTCAACTCGTTGCCTTACTGCGTCACCCCTCACCGGTTGCCTTCTTCAAGCCCGACATAACCATCATGGGTTCGAGTCTCCTCTCCGACATCGCGCCTCGTCCTCAGGCTCCCCGCACCTCCTTCCTGACAGACGGCGATGGCCAGGGCCTACCTCTTGCATTGGATGACAAAAAAGAGCAACATGTTCCCCGTACGCCCGCGTCAACCCCCGTGAATGCAGATGTATGTACCTCCTACTAGTCTGCAATCAATCTGACCATTCATAGCATACAAACAGGGTTACTATAGACTTCGACGTATACTTCGACGTAGACATCGAAGTGGGGAATTCGAAAGTTTGGGAAGGAAAATATGATGCCACCGCCTGGGGCGAGTGTAGTGCTATTGCTGTCCGCCAGGCTCAGTACAGTTTAGAAAGGAGGCTGGTTTCTGTTTGCCTTGCTGTTTGCCTTACTGTTTGCCTTATTTTTTTACCACTGTTGGGCGCCGACGGGTTGGCAATGAGCCTAGTTGTGTATGCAGGTTTTGCAGGCGATGGCGAAGGTCTATAAACACTTAGTCCTCCCATGACACTCTTGTCTCGCTCTAGTGACCCCCCACCATTGAATGTCGCAAATTCATCCAATATTTGGCTTACGATAATGTACGGCCGCGATGCGCAGATTCCTGTCCACTCCACACCACTTTCAAGTTGTCGGAACCAGCCAGGTGATCCTCTGCTGGCTGAACCCGCGCGTGAGACCCGAAATCCTGAAGTCCTCGTTCAGATGGATGTACACAGCTGTCATGCGGGCGCAGCGGTCGCGTCGGCAGCTTCGTGGTGCTGGGTACCATAGGTCCTAATAGCTTGACGCGCCTGTGAGTGAGACCTGACCTTGATCATCTACGGTCTTCCTCCTAACTTGAGCGTTCATGGTCCCAACGTCGAACACCGGAATATCTTAAACTACCTACTTCCATCGAGTTCTCGGCGGTTGCGCGCTGCATTCTGATATTGAGGTCGTCCATCCGCCGCAACCGCAGCACTCAGCCATTGACCATTCCCCGAATTGTCATCTCCTGCCATCTCGAAACTTTCTTGTGTAGTTTGGGAAGGAAAGAACAGTACTGTCGGTTACGAATAGGCTAGCTCAGGGCCCACATCAGCCGTCGTGGATATCAATCTGCTGCTCGAGCCTCGAGGCTCCAAGTCTCCTTCCAGCAAAAAGAGCACCAAGAGCGCGAAAAGTACCACCTCGGTAGCTTCATCTGCCGGTGCGACAAGGGCTTACACAACGGCGCCATCGGCATACACGCCGTCGCCGTCCTCGCATGCCACCACCTCGCCAGCGTACGTTGCAGCATATGCTGCATCTACTCAGGTTGAAAATTGATGTGAACTCTGTCTTATTTCGGGGGCCCGAAGGCCAAACTATATACTACGTAGGAAGTGACTGTATGCATAGGCAGAAGCACTAATTGGAGGCAGCAGTAGGCAGCATTAGGCAGGGTAGGCCACCGTACCCCAACCCCTCTCTGTAGAAGTTGTAACTGGCTAGGCATGTAGGCAGCTACTATGCCAGCAACTCCAAGTCTGTACGTAGGTGACCGTGAACCGTATGAGTTGTTGATCCTAGGTTGTAGCTGTTACAACCCGAGTCATCTCCCTATGCCGCTCCATCACCATACTCGACATCGGGGCCACCTTCTTCCATTTCTCTGGAGATACCTCCAATGCAAGGTGGACCAGTACTCCAGGTACTCCAGCCGTTGTGGGTTCTCCAACAGCAGCTGGTGCAACCTGATCCATTACAGCATCCCCAGAGCTTCCGTCCACTCTACTCTGGTCCACCGGGCGCAGCACCTCCCGCGCTACCCCATAGTTCACCTCCACTTCCACCCATCAGGCGCGCAGCGTCGCAGACTCCGTTGCCTGAGGAAAGTCCAGCAAAGAGACAGTCGAAATGGGGCCAAGAGGAGGATAATCTAATTATCGAGCTCAGAGGAACAGGAATGAAATGGGAGGACGTTGCGAAGCACTTCCCAGGGCGATCAGCCATCGCTTGCCGACTCCGATACCAGAATTACCTCGAGAAGCGCGCAGTCTGGGACGAGGAGAAAAAAAACAAGCTCGCGAGGCTTTACGCCCGGTAAGGTACCTCCTCAATCACCGCCCTTCGAAAAACACGATACGCGCAACGCTGCAAACATTGCGTTTCACAGCGCCTTGAATCTACCCCCCCACTTTCCCACTACCCCTTCACCGACCCACTGAACCCTAGCTAACATACTGAACAGATTCAAGGACCAGATGTGGCAAATGGTTGCTTCGGAGATGAAAATCCCCTGGAGGTCCGCCGAGAGCATGCACTGGCAGCTGGGCGAGCAAGAAATGAGCGCCCGCGCCAACGCTCCCGTCTTCCAGCTCCACCCTTCTGCTACTGGTACTGGTATGTCTTCGCCTCCTAGCGGCCGTCCCGCAACGCCGCATTTCACGCCTGCCAACACCCCGCAAACGCAAAGCCCAGCACCCGGACAACACCATCAATCGCAACCGCATCCGGCTCATCTCCATCACCAACGCGCCGACGGCGGGTCCGCGCCCCACTCACGTCGCAACAGCTCTGACGGTTCGAGATCACGATCCAGCCTGCCGCTAGTGTCCGAGAGTGATTTAGCAAGTGGCGCTAGGGCGGCACTGGTGTTGGAGACGGGGCAGAAGAGGGATCGAGAGAGTGTTGGCTTTGTCGAACCGTATCTTAAAAAGAGGAGGGAGTCTGGGTCTGTAGATATGAAGGGGACGAGGAGTGCGGAGAGTATATCGCAGCGCAGTGGGATGGAGAATAGGATGGAGAGTGGGACTGAGAGTGGGACGAAAGAGGAAGTAGTAGAGTTAAAGAAGGAGTGAAATTGTCTGGCTAGGATATGCATGTCCTCCCAGCCCGCATTCCATCTGAATGGCGTGTTGCCTCCCAACAACGTGGCTGTTCCGTCTCCATTTTGCTTTCACGACTCACCATGCTTGGTCTTAAGCCGTCAACATCAGAGGGTCACCTCCCTCGCGCACTAGACCGCTCCCCTAGCGTTCTTCTGCATATTGAAGGCCCTTGTCACACTCCTGCATCGACCCGCTCTGAAATTCCTGTCTGCTTGCAAGCCACATGCATATGCACCTTCTCCAAAACTATTGATAAGGCCACGGATATCCGTCCTCAAAGGTTTCCCACCTCGATCCTCTCTGGCATAGAGGCGCCTGGCTGAATCTCTTTACGCGCTGCTCAGGTTGCTTTCTGCATTATCACCTGAATCCACAATGTCACAGGATACTGCAGAGCCCAATCAGCTTCAGGCTTCAGTACCTCAAGCCTGCATTCCAGAAACATCCTCTTGTCCAATCGATATTCGACCTAGCGAAAGCTCGACGGGAGTGCAACCTTCGTCCGGTCAGGCATTAGCATTTAGCTCCGCCCCACCGAAACAATTCGCCGTCCCGAGTAGCTGCATACTTTCAAAACCTAGCAGCTCATTCACAACATGGGATGACTCGACACGTTGCGATTTCATCAGCGATGCAGACCTTTCTTTTAACGGCAAAAAAGGGCCTATTCTAGAGGAGGCACCATCACCGCCAAAACCGCAATTACCAGTTATGCCTCTATTGAAGAGGGAGAAAGTGGATCGGTCGCGACAGGCACACCGTATATTGCACAGCAGAGTGGCAAAGAAGGCACTACCAGAGATTAGCGAAAATTCGAAAGAAGGGGCTAAATGAAGCCAGAAATGCGAAGTACACATACTTCAATCGAGGACGTTGGAAGCCACTGCAATGGGAATCGTACAAGCAGGACGTGTTTTGTGTTGTGGCACGTGCTCGGACTTATTACGTGATGGAGGTAGCGTAAGGCTTAGCACCACTTCACTCCTTCTACTCGGAGACTGACTACCTGCTTAACCAACCTTGTACACTCTCTTGACCTGCTTGTTTTTCTTTGCCTACTCAGCTGCGCGCTGCACAGTATATGATAGCTGAAATTCCTCTTCAATCTACTTGAGCCCCGCTGCGACGACGACTGCGTTTTGTCCGAACCTGTGCCATTTCACTTGCAGTCTTCTTACGATCACACGCCTCGTTACTTGAACCTCGACGCAACAAGAATCGAGACTGCAGGACAAGTCTCGAAATCAAGATTCGCTCTCCCACCTCTCAGCACGTCGTCCAGCTTACCACCGCCCAGATCGAAGTCGGTGACGAAGGCCGCTCGTCGCCTTTCACTTTGTCCCCGCCCATCCACAAAGGTCGCCCTGCCTCTAGTAGTTCGACCTATCAACCCAGCTTGATACACCGTCTCTTCGTCGTCTCATCAGATTTTGGGAGCGACTACCAAATCGCCTCGAAGGCTAGCCTCTCTTTTCTCATACTCCTGAGCACCACACGTCCCTGTCAAGATTGACCTTGTAATGCTAATAAGCCGCAGCCTCCCTATTCCATCGTCACCGTCCTCAGACAGACTAGCCGATTCCAGTGTCTCGCAGGCCTCACCACCGGCTTCGCCCATCCTGAGGGACTGTACTCAAACAACAAGTGCCGACATAAGTGGATCATCGGTCAGGCGAAGCCTTGCTAGACAACGACAGGAACAGCAGATTGCAGGATGTCGATTCCAAACCTGTGATCAGTCACCTTGTCCGAGACCGCCAAAGCATGTGTCCGTACCTCGTGAACCGCTCCGGACTGGTGGAAAGCGTTCAGGCGGGCGAAGCCTTCACGCCCTCACCGCTCCAACATCGCGGTCCGCCAAACCGTCGGATCGGTATGCAAGCGCTCAGCAATCCCGACGACTAGACACAGGAGTGCGACGTACGCAGCAGGGCGGTTGGTAGCAGCTCACAAAGCTCACTACACGGGTGATTTTTGGCATATTGGTGGTTTATGACTCACGGAATGATTTCACGGTTTCTCTCTTTCTTTTCAATCATGCTGAGCACACCCGAACCAATGTAGTACTTCCAGTGTAGCTACCCTACACGCGCTATGCACATATGGTACCTGAACTTCTTCCTCGATCTGCTGCGGATTGAGCCATACCACGGCTGCGTTCTGTCTGAACCCGCTCTGTTCCATTTCACCTTGCAGTCCTCATACAACCGCACGCCTCGTCCCTCAACCCTTGATCCACACCAAAACCGCGTAACTAAGCAAACGCTCAGAAACCCCAGCGATGGCAGGATTACTGCGTCAAGACTGGGTGAGGCGCCGCCAGCGTCCCCAACCGCTCATCATCATCGCCCGCAAACCGACCCAATTGCACCCAAGCCGGGTTCCTGAAGGGCCAACGCCAACCTTGCCCTGGTAATGCATGGAACTTCAGCACCCCCACACCTAAGATTCCCGTCCGAATAAGAAGGGAAGCTGTCCCACGGTTCGTATTCGAAATTACCTAACTCTTTACACACCACTAAAAATGTGTGATTACACCCAGGTTCACTATAAGTGCTCTTATCTCCGCTATATAGTGAGAGCATAGTGCATAAAATACCAGGAAATATATAAGAGATGCCTAGCAAATGTAGTTGCTATATAAGAGCAAATACCCAGGACATTTTCGTATAGCTAACGCTTTCTCTAGAGAATACCGGCTCGATAAGAACTGCGGTTCGTTACAACTATCTAAATAGTAATTTAAGTAAACTAATATAAGAATTCTTCTAAGGCGACTGCAAAGACATAGCCTTAAAGTTAAAGACACTAACAACAGGCCCAGATAAATAATTAAGTCTCTTTGCGCTGGATAGGAATTAGTAAGCTATAATAAAATATTGAAATCTAGTAGCTAATAAGGCTAAGGAATAGTGCTAGAGCTATATTATTAATTACCCTGCTGTGGCCTAGATAAAGGCCGCTAAGCCTGTAAATTTAGTTGGAGAATAAGTATAGCATGCATATTAGGGTGAAGTCCGCAAGTATATTATATAAGCAAGTACGCGAAGCTTAGCACCACCTTATTTCTTCTACTTAGAGATTGCCTACTGCTTAATTAACCTTGTACACTTCTTTAATTGCTCTGCTTTGCTTTACCTACTTTGCCGCACCGCATATTATATAGTAGATATTCTTTCTTGCTTCCTTAATGCGCACTAAGCAATCGTTTAGAGACCCCAGCAACGCTTACTAAGGCTACTGCGCCTGTTAAGAACGTAAGAAGAATTAAAGCTATAGGATAAGCCTTAAAATTAAAACCTGCTCTCCTGCTTTTTAGCTTGCTGTCCAGCCTACTACCTTCTATAAGGCCGCCCGCGCAGTTAACAAGCCCGCCTAAATCGAAGTTGTTGCCTTTTACTTTGTCTCCGCCCATCTAATATAAAGGTCGCCCTAGCAGTTTAACCTATTAACCCAGCTTAATACACCGTCTTATTGTCGCCTTATTAGATTCTGGGAGCAACCTTACTACTAAATCGCTGTCACGGTATCGACCGCGACACCCTACCTACCGAAATTCTGCCGCAGATTGCTACAACTCTAGCAATCTGCACCGGCCTACTGCCGTTGGCCGGCCTCCTGCCCTGCCTGCCCTGCTTCCTATCCTGTCCCGCTCTAGCCACCTACCGGCTGCCCCCTTTTCCTATCACCTGATCTGGTAAGGACCTCGCGTACACGCGTGCCACGCGCCGAAACGGCATAGAGGCCGTACGCCACGCGCTCGGCCACGCCCTTATATCCGGTGGCCCGTCTCCCGTCTTCCTGTTCCTTACACAACGTCTTAATTCTCCACGTAGTATTGTATATAGCACCTAATCAACGCTCCTCTTTAAGCCCTCGACCTCTTGCGTGTAGCGCTATCGTAATATTACGTTGTGTTAACTCTTACTACTATAGACACCCCTGCCAACCCGACTATAATACTTCTAGAGCTCGTTAGCTCTATAAAGGAACAGCAGGCTGCTGTAATAGAAGTCCTGTCCGCCTAGAAATAGGAAATTGCTGCTCTGCGGGAGGAAGTAGCCGCAATTCGGTCTAAATCTACCCCTACTCTACTACTGGCGCCCGACTAACAATTTGCAGGGCCTCCTGTTTACGAATTAAATAATAGCTTAATGCCTGCCAATAATATAAACCGTATACGGACCCTAACTATTAAAGTTACTCCGCCGACTTCAACAAACTTCTCCCTAATAGCCGCCGCCCCGCCGACCCTAAAGACCGAACGTCTAATTAACCTTCCGATATTTAAGGGGAGTTAAAAGGAACTTCTAATCTTTGTCCGACGACTACAGTATAAACTAAAAGAAAATACTAATTAATACCTAACTAAACGTGCTTGCTTGCTATACGCTTACTCTTAATTAGAATCTAACCCGTTAACGCTTATTAACCCCTTAATAAACTAAGATATCTGCACTATTAATTAACTTGTCTAATTCCTGCAGGCCATATACAGCAATCTAAACTAGAAACTTACGTCCTTAAATTAACTCTATGCACTAAAGTAAGGAAGGCGTGCCTTTATATCGCACTTTACTAAATTCCGATAACTTACCGCTAATATAGATCTAAACAAAGCTAGCCTAATAACTTAGCTCCGATACTTTCTTTCTAATAAACTCCGCCGTGTAATAGTTGGCGCTACTACCCCGGATAATCTAAACAATTATGCCAACTTAATTATAAAGTATAATAATAATCTATAATTCCTGCCCGGCCAACTCTTTTAATATTCCCCTCTATTATAAAAGGACCCAGATGTAATAGAAATTAATATATCTAAATATACTCTAGCCGGCTTAGCAAAATAAGATAAATATTATTAAAAGGGCCTCTGCTTTAAATGCGGAAAGTATAGCTATATCTCCCGCAATTGCTCTGTTCTTTTACCCTAAGTCCGATTATTTAGCGTAGATAAGCCTCTAAGCCCCCGACCGCGCATATACGCGCAATTAACTAATTCCACCTAATTCTTATCTGCCCGCTGTTCCTCTATATCTACTACTTTATCCTCTAGCTCTAATTAATCTAGAGGTAGCCGCTTATCCTATATAAAGAAGTTATTAAAAGCCCTATTTTAGGGCTAAGTCCCCCCCCAGGACTATTCTAACCCCGGATTTCTATAAACCTGTTTAAAGAACCTAAACCTAACTCCTAGAAATAATAAATTCTTATCCCTATTTCTATATAATAAGGCCCTACCTATATAAATACTATAGCTCTAATTAATAGTAGAGCTATAGGCATAGGTTATATTTATAGAAATCTGGCGCGCGTATAGAACCTCCGCCTTAACCTGCTCCTATATATTTTACGCCTAACTAGATTTAATAGAAAAACGCTTAAAGAAAAACAGATTACGCACTCTATATAAGTAACCCTCTACTACCTAAACTATATAGAATAGATCTATCTCTATATACTAAAACTTAGTAAATATAAGCTGCTACTAGAATAGCCCTAGCTATATAAGCACTATACTGGATTTAACTATAATAACTAATAACTGTTGTTTTAATTATCCTAATACTAGGCGCAATACCTGTGCAACTTCTAAACCTCTGCAATAAGAACTTATATAGAACAGCTTCCTAAAGCGCCCCTTATTAAGCAGTGCCTAACACCTTTAACCTAATACTTTTACTTGCAGTAATTAAGCCTGTCTATATAACACCGATATAATTACTAGCTTCCTAAAATAGTATACTAGATAAATATGCCCGACCCTAAACCTAAGCTAGAAACTAAACCCGAAACTAAATCTAATTCTAAATTTAAACCTAATACCTAGA